AGCAAAGAATCATGGTCATACCCATTCATTTTTTGTTTTGTTTTTTTTATCCTAATGGGTATGTCCTAATGACTAATTATTTTCCCTTTCTGATTAAGCTAGATAGAGACACGTATACAAATAAGTTTTCTTGTGTTCATAGCCTCATTTAAAAGGAAAATAAAGAGAAAACAAATAGCTGTTTTGCATATGGCCTGCCCTAATTTTATTGTATTCGGAATCACTAATAAATAAAAAGAAATGCCTTTTATGCTTATGATTATTATGAATTTGCAAATATAATTAGTTGAAGAAATGAACTTTAGCCTAGAAGCAATTTGCTAAACCAATATAAACAAGGTAGAATTAATTAAGAACGGAATGCTTTCAGTTTAATAGAAAAAGGAAGGGCTGCGGGTTGGAGCCACAAACAAAAATTAGTAGGTGTAGTTCTTTATTAATCTGTCTCCCCACCTTTCACTGCAGGCTGAACCTGTTATTCTGGACTTGAGAGATCTCTTTCAACTCATTTATGAACTGAAGCAAAGAGAAGAGTTGGAAAAAAAGGCACAAAAGGATAAGCAGTGTGAGCAAGCTGTGTACCAGGTATGCCTAGGAGTTCCTCCCCGTGCTACAGAAGACAGGGCCCACAATAAACAGATGGGAACTGACAAGTCGGGCTGTCTCCTGCTGCCGAGCAGAAATAAACAGAGATGAAAGGTTCCTGTGCAGGTTACAGGCAACCAAACTAAGCCATTAGAAGTGATCCCTTCTTTTTTTTTTCTTTTCTGAGACTTGAGATGGGTTAGAGAAAGGGGAACCTTTAATCCACGGGAAGATTTCAGAGGAGGAAGACTAAAGGCCCATGGCAGCTTGGCTTGCTTTGCTGTTGTTAAAGCAGGGAGTGGGTAGGGAGAAGGAGCTGCAGGATTCAGGGTTTCTTTGTGTATTTCTGCGTTAATGGCCTCCTAGCCTATCCTAATCAATGCTGCCTTCTCCGCTGTGCTGTATTGTCTGAAGATAATCTCACATCTCTTCCTTTGTGTCCTTTGCTTTCACCCTCCCTCCCCTCACTGGGATAGACAATTTTGGAAGAGGATGTTGAAGATCCCGTGTACCAGGTAATTTCAGAACCACGTCGGGGTTTTGCATGAACTTGTGCCCATGGTAAGGCTGTTTTGACTGACAGTTGAGGAATCTGTTGAATGCAGAAGGACTGAGGTGATTTCCAAAGGTCAGGGCTGCCAGCCTGTGCAGAGAGAGAATTTCAACACGGAGAGAGGTTTAGCCAGCACCACTAACAGGTGATCTGGAAATGCACTTTCTTCTTTATGTCCCTGCCTCCGATGCTTCCATGATCTGGAAAAGTTTGTTCACAGAAGTGAATGTTTCTCAGGAGTCTCTTGACTGTTCTGACTTGAGACACGATGGATAATGAAGAGGACTCTAGGAGCTAAGAATTAGGGTTAAGGGATGACATTTGAGCGGCATTTGAACACAGCCCTAAATAATGGCTTATGAGCTTTAGCAGGGATGTAAGATCTCTGATGATGCCGGGTAGCCCTCTGATTATTTTGTTCATGGCACGGAGCTGTCATGAAGTGGGAGAGAGAATCCCGAGACATCTCTGTCCAGGGCTTTCTCTGCACTCTCTCCATGGTCTACAGCGCAAGGGTGGGTAATGACCTCTCTTGGGGTCAAATCCAAGATCCGTGCAAACAAGGAAAGGAAGAAGTGGCTTTTCCCCCTCCTGTGCTTATTTTTAAGGAGGAAAAAGTGGACCAAAAAGCATACTCACTTTTTTAACATAAAAGCAAACCTCCTGCTTTTATCTCCAACCAGGATTCATAGGTGTGGTTTGTGTCTGTGTTACACAGCCACTGCATATATGTGCATACCTTCACACCAACAGCTGCTATGGCTATGATAGGAGTGAAATGATTAATTGATACTTGCTTAGATACACAGGCAGATAGGTGTCAAAGCATCTCGCAGATCTATGGTAGACACAAGTCAGAACTGCATCACTGTGAACACACCCTTGCTTTTGAGGGATGCAGAGGAAGAACTTGCTTATAGCAGGAGCTTCGACCCCCTGATTAATAATCTCACAGAGGATGATACATTACCTCTCTGCAAAGACTTGCAGTGGCCCAGTGTACTCACGTAGCCAGCAAAGGTCTGCAGCCTTAGCAAGGCCCATGTTATCCCAGTAACCCAAATCATTTCGGATGTTTCCTCTTGTGCCTGCTTCTGTAATACTTGCTGTGGTTTGCATTCTGAATTCCAAATGCTTTTTTTCCTCTTTCTTAATTTGTTCCTTCTGCCCTTTCCTCTCTGGCTGCTCCTGCAATAGTACATTGTGTTTGAGGCCGGACATGAGCCAATCCGTGATCCTGAAACAGAAGAAAACATTTACCAGGTATAAGATCCTTGCTTTTTCCTATGCCCCCTACCAGCAAATGCTAGCGTACTGATAGTCTCAAGAAGCCCGGATCTTTTGGTCATCCAGGCTCACATGATGCCCTTGAGTACACTAACTTCTGGTTCCCAGCGATTTTCTGGCAGTTTCCATGCCTCCATGTTGAAATCTTTAATGGCCAGTTGTGTACAGTAATTAAATCTGGAATGGATAATTGGGTATTTTAAGTAGCATACAACCCAAGTGTTCTATTGTACTGAGATAATGCCATGGAGAATTGCAATCCACCAAGTAGAAGGGTCTTTCACTTCTCAAAGCAACACATGCATTCAGTTGGGTTAAAAACCCAACTTCCCTTCTGTAAGTAAGGGACAGATCTGAAAATGCTGTATTGAAGCAGCTTTGGGAGTAAGGACCAAATAAAAGAAAGTAAAGCTGAAGGCTTTATTTTTCCTGAAGGAGAGGCAGATAAAAATTCATAACTGAGAAGAGCACTTAAAACATTTTTGAACTCATTCAACTCTTACAAATATGTGATAAAATAGGCATTTTAATTCTGGGGTTTCTTTGGGTGGGGGTTTTTAAGCAGATTCCCCGGGATGGCACAGCTCCTTAGAATCAAGGCAGAAAACCAGACACAAGTGAAGACCAAGCCCCAGCCTCCTCAGGAATGCCATTAAAGTGTTTGGGTCATGGGTCACAGTAGCATGGTCTAGTGGCACATCAAGTAAATATGATAATTTTTCACTAATGAGAACTTGAGTCTTCATCTAAAGCATAAGTACTATGGGAGAAGGAGTGATGTGATGTATTTATTTAATCAGGGGTTTTAATTTACTTAGTTGTGTGTTCTGTTATTCAGCCTTGGGCATGTGCTAATTGTGAAATCAAAATAAAACGTATTTTCAATTTCTCTCAAACGGGTAGAATTCTAAATGAGCAAGCCCAATGTTGTTTCTCCCAACAGCTCAGTTTAAGTGGGTCTTGTAGATCATCCTTTATTTATGCGCGCCTGCTCCACCCAGACCCTTCCCTGTGGGCCTCCACCAGGAAGTGCTGGAGCAGGGAGGGCTGCAAACATTGGAGCACCTGCTGAGAACGCAAGGGGTGGTTTAGTCTTCCCCTACAGAAGCTTCACAGTTGTCCCAGTGTCTGATCTGCAGCCCTGTATCATCCTGCAGTGTCTCTTGAGCGTTGAGGCCAAAGAGTCACTAACCTACCATCCCAGCGAGAGGAAGAACCTCCACTGTAGCAACTGGGGACAGCAAAGTGCCAGAAAGAGCTGCCTTCAGGGGCAGAGCTGGGGTTCAGTTTGGCCCTTCTTTGGGTCATGGTTAGAGAGCAAGGCCCTTGCTGTTTTTTCAGACGCCATTTCTCCAGTTATAAAGTAGGGAGGGGGCAATCCCATCAGTGTGAGACTGAAACAAGCTTATGTGGGGTATAGAATGGGGCAGCATCCTGGGGCACGGATATCCATGTGGATCCAGACCTTAGCACCAGTACTTGCTCCAGCCGTTGATTTAAATTGTAAATTTCCTTCCTGTCTCTGGGCACCCGTTTACCCACCTGTAAAATGAGTAAATAAGATTCATAGATCTCCGTGGATAGGGTCTTTCCTGCTGTCTGAAACACACACCTTGCAAGAAATAAAACTGGGGTTCTTTGCGGAATCATGCTAGCTTGCTTTGTAGGCAGCAAAGCCCTTAGCAATGGGATCCACGTGTACCCACGGATGTCCTCTCACGTGGAGGTGTACATGGAACACCTTTCATCTATCACAACACCCCTTATGGCTTTAGTCATTTTCCCGCCTTACAGACAAGGGGAGTGAGGCTTGTGGGGACCAAGGATCGTGTTGGGATCCCAGAGCCTGTGAGATGGAATCTCTAAGGCTTTGTCCGATCTCTGTAAAAGTCCCTCAGTCCTGTAACTCTTTCCAGCTCAATGTTTGGTGGCTCTGTGTTCCCCAGTTATATTATGTATCTTAAGTCATTATCAAAAGATCGTGCTTGTTTTAATAGCACTGGCCTCCTGATCGCCCCATCTGTCCATTATTAACAGGAAGGCATCATCTACGAGAATAAATACTTTATCCTATCTATTGGAAAGGCTGTGGCCATGTTCCTCTCCTGTAGTGCAGGTCTACCTGAGCTCAGTGCACTTTACAGGAGATGAGCCCTTGGCCTATAGATTACCAGGATAAAAAGGTGCAGCCGTTAGATGGCCTGTCCTTTTTTTTTGGGGGGGGGGGCAAATTCTACGTAGCTGATCCTGCTGCGTACATCACACTGTTCCTACTGCCTCAAGTCAAAGGTGGCCTTATTTTATTCCAGTCCTTGTTTCTAGAAGGCGACACACAAAGCTGAGGCTTGGCATCCTTTCAGTGCTTTGTGCCTTTGGATGATGTACATTACTTTTGCCATTCAGGTTCCCAGGCTGTGCACTGGGTAGGGTTAGTTTAGTGTGGACTCCTGTGAAGCTATGATGCCATGGTGTACCTGGTCCATAGACGCTTCTGTGTAGACATCCCTTCCTTTCATTTAGGCATCATTGGGTACCACTTTTGATGATGCTGTCCTCACAGCCCGTTTTGTTGGAGAGCCCCACAGAAAGCTGCAGCCTTGCTTTGCTGCTTGTACCCAGCATGAGGATGAAGAGGCTCTGACACTGAGGCATCTTTCCGAGGAGGAGTTACGTCCCCAGGGCCATGTGAATAATCTTAATTGTCCCTTGTGTCGTGGGCCTCGGAAAACATGATCAGTTCACTTTCACACAGCACAGGGCATTGTTCTACATGACTTAACGGTGACCTTTCTGTCACTTGGTGAGCGGAGAAGAAAAGCTCCCGAGGCCGTCATTTTCAGCATAGGGATTCCAAGTGCCCGTATCAGGGACTGTAATTCCAGTCTTGACCTAGAGTACCTTAACCAGGTATTACCCCACTTTCCAAGTAGAGGTTTTTCAAATTCAGTTCTTCAGAACTCACTGTTAATTTCCCCCACGTGTTAAGTATCAGTTTGAAATGGGAAAGCTAATCTTGGGTCACCCGCCACACTGCTGGCATGGATGTGCCCGCTGCGTATACCACTTCAGGTGCAGCTTTTAGAGTCATTTAACACCCATTTAACTCGTTCATCCAGAAGTCTTTCTTTGGGCACCTAAGTATCTTCTGGGCACCTAGGAAAATAACAGTGACCGCTGCAAGGACCCTGGCCTTGTTCATAAACAATCCCTTAGATATTCATGTAAACCTGAGGCTCAAAAATTAAGAAAGCCGGGGCTCAAAATGTAACATGACTCCCCTAAGTCATGCAGCCTGTAAGCAGTCCCGGATGAGGAGCCAGAACCTCACCTTTCCCCCTCATCTAGAAGTTTCAGCACTCTGCATCACGGCGGTACTCCAGTGGTCCCTGTTGTTGAAACAGTCTGTGCAAACATGACAGAGCCACAGACCTTAACCCTCACCTGGGAATGGTTGATGAGACATGATTTTGTTTAACAGTATGTGCCCTGTCTGGAGTAAGCTTACAGAGCTGTGCCACTCCAGACACACAGGCAGCATGAACAGTCTGTCATACCGCCCATGAACAGAAAGTTCCTGTTCACGCTCTGCATTAGTAGCTGGTGTATAGTTCTGTCTCTCCCGACACAAGGAGCTCTGCTGACTCCGGGCCGTATCTGCCATTCTCGCTGTCCAGAAAAGACACAATCTCTGGCATAGAGCCAGTGCTTGGGAACTTTTCTCCTTTTGTAAAAGGACGCACCTGAGATGGGACACGAAACAAACAAACGAAACAGTCCAAACAGGGTCCATAGAGGCAGGCAGGAGTCGTGAGAACATGTCCCAGAGCAGATAAATCTTAAAGGACAAACAAGCCGATTGATATCTCACCCATGGGAGAGCCAAGTAGAAAAGCGTTTTCAATTATGCACAGTTTGGGTTTCTCCATCGCATGGCTTGTTCTCCATTTACAGGGATAATTGAGAAGCAGCCGCGGTTCAGCTGTGCTAAGTGCCCGTAGTGAGCAGTGAATTACAGGCAGCAGAACACTCTTCCTTCCACTCCATTCCGCTCCTAAAGTACAGGGTGAGCTGGGGAAAACAAGAGTGAGGGCTGGTAATTTATTGGCCCTCGTTAACAAGGACTCTGTAGACATCCAGGGAGAGGATTCCTTCTAAAAGGCGCTCCGTTATCAGGACCAAAGAAATGACATTCTTCGTTGAATACCTGCAAACCAGGGTTCTGGAAGGGCATCCTCTATCTGGCCTTGCTCAGTCATAGTTCTGTTTTCTGCAAGGATGCGCTTAGGCCTCTGGGAATGCAGGGGTCTTTGTTGTTGTTGTTGTTTGGCTTTTTAAGGATGCACCTGAAGCAGCCACCCGAACAGGGTAGCAATAAACAGCAAGTGACCTGGGCTGTAGCGCCTCGCTGTCCCAGTCCTGACTGCTGGGCCCTCTGCAGGCGTGATCTTCCTTCTCTACATCACAGGGAGGGATGGCTGTAGTTGTAAAAGACTTGTCCTGGTTATTCCATCACTATTTATGGATAATAGAAAGTTTACAATCCCGCCTGCTCATGGGGCATGCCTAGTGCCATATTAACTCAGTATATTAAGAATAAAAGTCTTATCTTGATACCCGAAAAGATTTGGGTTGAACCACAGCCAAATCGGAAGTTTGGGGCAAAGTCCATAACACCCAGCCCTGAGCCTCACTTTCTATAGATTCAAGGTAGCGTTGGCATCGAGAGTTTAAGTTAAACGAGGGTAAAAATAAGAGAATTCAAAGGATGGGTTGAGCTTCTTCCTCTCACAGATAAGGAGAGCTGGCTGGCCCATGCTTGGCAGGGGCTTCTTTTCTTCAGTTTCCCCCCACACTGCTCTGTGAAAGATTTACCCAGCGGGTATTCATAGGGGGCCTTCTGGTTGTGACACACTCTGTCTGTTCCTGAGAAGCATCCAGCCTGCTGGAGAGACAGCCTCACTGTCAGGACATTATAAATCTGCTGCTGCTTGGTCTCTGCCGTGGAGAGCAAAGCTGTGGCAGTCTGGGGGAGGAGCGGTTAGTGAGTGCTTCCAATCTGGAATGTTTCAGTGCAGGGCCCTTGATTGACATATTAGAGAAGTATTCGACACTATTAATATCTCAAAATGTGTTCATATACATATGTATATGATGCATGTGTGACAAAAGAAATCATCCCCCTGGCATATTGCAGAATTGTGGGGCGTATCTCCTCTCCAGTCCCTCACTTTGCATCTTACCGTCACCTGAGTGAGATGCATTGCTGATCAGACCCATTGAGAGCAGCAGAGCCGGGGGACTTGATGGCCTTCAGGGTGTTGCACGTGACCAGTAGCCCCAGGAGACCAGAAGCATGAGAAGGGGAAGGAAAAGAAGGGAGATTTGGAGGGATGGCAGATCAGTCAGGGACTTCTTGATCCTGGTGACTTACTTCCGTTATCATGTAGGCCCTTCCTGTGATTATCAGGAGGGGGCTGATAGGTACGAGGCACTTAACTTTTGATAACATGTAGATTGTCTCACAGAGACATGTATGCTCATACACAAACTATTTCTAGTTACAAGGGAAATCATAGCACCTAGACTCCCTTTATGATTAACCAAATGAAGTTGGATTTTGTCGTTTTGTTTCTGCCATGTGATATTTGCGATCTCCACAGCTGTTCTTTAACGGTGGGAAAGGCTCAAGAGCATATATTTGTTTTAAGATGATACCCATGTCCTCACTGATTTTCCCAGGGGAAGGAACCTGGCTTAAAGCCTTAATGGCTAAAACCATCCTGAGTTTTGGATCTGTCTTAGGCACTGTCTCACAGACAGTCAGACTACTCTGGTCTTTGGAAGTGGAACAGTACCAGGCAATTAAAGGTGGCACACACCTTTAATCCCAGCACTCAGGAAGCAGAGACTGAGTTCACGGCCAGCCTGGTCTTTAGAGCGATAGCCAGGGCTACACAGAGACAAAGGAAGGAAGGAAGGAAGGAAGGAAGGAAGGAAGGAAGGAAGGAAGGAAGGGTGGACACTAATGTTTTGACTGTTGGATTTGATTTCTCTATAGGTTCCCACCAGCCAAAAGAAGGAAGGTGTTTATGATGTGCCAAAAAGTCAACCTGTAAGTGTAAGTACATCCGCCTCAGCGGCCAGATTCATGCAGAGGCTGCAACTGGTGGGAAACTCTTTTTCTGCTCCTAGAGTCGCATGTGGTTTCTCATGGGTATAGGGACATAAGGGAAGAATGGTATGGATGAACAACGACCAATCACAACAAAGGTCTGTTCTGTGACTGAATGGATGGAGTTGGATAATGCAAAAAGTTCTGCCTGGGGGACTCAAGATCCCAGTTGTTCCAGGACGTAGGTCTCCAACCAGAACTTTAGAAAGTACATGGTCAAGTATAGGACACTGCCATTTTCTTCTGCCCGTCCCATCTAAAAGTGGTTAAGAAGTTCCAGGGGAACAATGGAAGGGCTAGTCAGTGCTATGAAGGTGTGTAAGGACTCATCCATCTCATTAGCAAGCACTTAACGAAAAGGCCATGTGTCGCATGCTCGCAGAGAAAGTAGCAGGTGGGTGTGCCACAGCCAGGACAATGATGCCCAGTGCGTCTGGACTCAGGAATCTGAGCCAGAAAGGAAAGCAGAGCCCTACGCTGGCACTGACAGCAACCTCTTATTCCTAATGCCAGCGACACTGAGGGCCAGCCTGCTCTTCAGGTTTCGATTGGTCCAGCCCCCATTACACAGTTTCCTCAGTTCAATTTGTGCCCAGATTGACTCACCTGCCCCTGGCAGGTTTAGATGCATGAGGAAATACGCTCCATTTGCTGCCCTAGTTTTTCTGGTTTTATTAGCCATTCTGGTCACGCCCTCTCCATGCTCAATAGCTCCAAGGGGAAAAAAACCTAAGCCTCTTAGGCTGGCAGACAGGCCATCTAAGGGCTCCATCAGCTCACGGGCCCATCGCTCCCCTTCTGGCCCAGCCCTCCCTCCGAACCCTCCCCTCCCCCTGCTCTGTCTGCTGCCTGCTTTCCCTACATCCAGTTATCGGGGAGACTTTTGGGGTTTCTGCTCTGAAAGTCGGTCGCAGATCACCCCTATCTTGGTGGCCCTGTGACAGTTATTCCTCTACGAACAGCACATCTTTCCCCATTGCCCCCATGAGTCTCCTGAGGTCCTTGTATTACCAAAACTGAGCCCTGGTAGCTGAAAACAGGCAGGAAACAACAAGTTTGGGGATATTTAATGGATCGACAATTGACTAGCCCCTGAAGGAGGATAAGGGTTCTTTCCCTTAAAGAGGGATTCCCTGTTTCTTAGAACCCTAAAAGGTCATTGCCCAAAGATACTAGAAGTCTTCCTTGGGGCATACCTGACTGTATGAACAGATTACATTAACTGCTCACTCAGTGTTCCCTAAGACCTACTCAGTGTGGTAGCAAGTTTCCATGCTTCCAGAGGTCTGAGAGAAACAGGAGGTGCGAGGCTCAGGTTTGCAAACATAAGCACAGGCAGATCTGGCTCCTGCTCCTGCCCACCTCTATGAGCTTCGGTGGGGTTTCTCTATCCCTTGGTCCACGGTTTGTCTTCTACCCAAAGAAGTTAGTGACTGAGAAAAGAGTATATCTGTTGGGAAGTTCCTCTGAGTTACCCCAGCCTCATAGGGCTACATAAACTCCTCTGGGTCCCTCTCTGCACTGCTGTCTCAGTGCCCTAGATTCTTCAGCCTGAAGCTCTGCCCCTCTGCCAACACACATGCACAGGGCATCTCTCTGCTGTGAGGCTCCGTCCCTCATATCACCTTGGCTGCCCCATTTGTCTCCTGTCCTCATTGTGAAAGAAAAAGGAAGCAGAGAAAGGGAATCCTGCTCGTACATGTTAGGTGGCTGCCGGGGAGCTGTGGGGCCCCTCCACAGTTCCCACAGAAAGGCAAACTGCCCAGTGTCCTATCACTCTAAATTCTTCACTGGTTTCCTCTGGCTTGGGTTCAGAGCTACACAGAGCCCAGGTGAGAGAATCAACCTGGGGTTTTCCTTCGGGAAATCGACCATCATCCCCAAAGGACTAGCCTAATCCTCAAGTCTAAGGCTTGGGTGTTCTTGTCACCAATGGGCACTGGCTGAGGGTCTCTGAGTAACCCTTTGTCTCTCAAAGGCTCTGTATCTGTTAAAAGCAGGTACTGCCTGCCTTTTAGCTTAGGAAGACTGAGAGAAACATCTTGGGAAAATCCTTAGCAGACGCTGTAAATTTGATGAAATGAGGATATTCCTGGGTGTTGCTGTAACAAGCGAAGCTTGAGCTGGCAGTTTTGACTGATCTGGGATGGTCAGCTTCTCAGAATGAGGATGCACCTCCTTTGGGAAACCTGCTTTACTCCAAACAGGTCAGCGCATCTTTCTGCGGGCTTTGTCCTTCCCTTTGCAATGATAATGGCGAATGTTATTTTCCTCTTAATATGTCTACATGAACCATTGGATTTTGTGTTCCCCAAAAGTGTTCGGTGAAATCGTAGCTCTTGAAGTCCAGCTCTGTGCCTAACATTTAGCTGTCTCTGAGCACAGAGGTACTGTCCCAGTGTTATGAGACAGAGCTGGCTTTGAGTTCTGGTTTCATTACTGGTTTTGTGACCTTGAGTGAGTCCTTTTCTCTGTTTAGTTTTTAGTTGCCTTGTGCTTGTAATGGTGATAGAAAACCATGACCACCCGATTCTAAGTGTTTTATATTAGCCACTCAGTATATGGTATCTGTTGGTAAATCTGAATAAATTTGCTTGAAAATACTTACCAGGAGTGGTCACGCCCTCACTGTGTGTCTGCCGAGGACAGAAAGCATGCCCTATCCGTGACCTGATTACTAGGGGGCATTGGCCCAGCATGGCTGCACTGAAAGTGCATTATTGAGAGTGAGTGAACAGAGCTGGAAACGAACGATTTGTAAAGAATAAATGTCTTTGGATCCCAAGCTCATGCCTTAAGTTCTTTCTCCTCCTGGAGCAGTATGTCGCACGGAGACGGTGTTTGCTGTCATAGCTGCCCCTGGCCCAGCCCCTCTTTGCACCCTGCCTTCAACCGCCCGTGCCCTATTCCGCCTCCAACCTTCATAAATATGCATGGTTTTTCTTCATAGCTTGGATCACCAAGCTGACAGATGGCCTTCTGAACACACACATGGAAACGTACGTGCACACGCACACACCTGCACCGCTCTCCTCCCACATCAGCAGCTCCACAGCAGTCAAAGCCAAAGGCATTTTTGCTGACTGGGCAAAGTTATTTTGGGGTTTTGTTTTGTGTTCTGCTGCCTCGGAGCCCCATGGAAACTGGTTAGCATCGTTACAGTGCGTAACGTTCTTTGGAGAGAGACCGTGGTACCTGATAACATAGTGAGGACATGGTCTGACAGAATTAAGAATCTGCATAGGCATTTTTCCCAGAAACCCTTGGAGTCATTTATATGTCACAAAGAAGGCCAGAGAAAGGATGAGGGTTCATCGATTTTACTACATGCTCTCCTAAAGACCACTATAATTCTTGCATTTTAAGACCATATCAATATATCTCTTACCTAGCGATAGATCATCTAAAATTAAGGATAATAATTACGTGGTTTAATTTGAAGCCACATTTAGCTGAAGACTTTTCTTCAAAAAAACTAGAAGTGTCTGGTAATATATAGGCTATGAACAAGATAAAAGGAGACAGGCAGACCTCACACCCCAGCCAATCATTCACCTGCCTTCTCAACAGAACAAAGAAAGCTAGCGTCCATTTCCAAGCTGGGGTTTCAAGGAGCACTGACCAATGAGATGTTCATCAGTGATTCCAAAAATTAAAACACCGAAGTTTTCAGGTGTTTAATGCATTTAAAAATATGCTACGAATGTTAACGTGTATTCGTATATGAATATGCAAGAGGAATATATTTTGAGTTATGAATATATATTACAGAAATTGAGTAGGTCTCAATTTTCTTTGACCTAAATACTCTTTTTAATGCAACCCCCAAATACATCTCAAGTAGAGAGTCGCTCCATTAAGGACCTAACTGGGGACAGGGGTATGGAAGACAACCCAGGCATGCATAGTACTAATACCAAACATTCAACTCCCAAAGCTCAGGTTGAATAGCAGTGCTATTCTTTACTGCTCACAGGTCCATGAGCCGTCCATGTGGTTCTGCTATTGTCTGCCTTTCCCAGAGTTACTTGACTGATGTGTCTCTGGTTACCTGTGGATCTGGAGGCAGTCGCGCCTATCCCTGCTGAGCCGGCTCACAGATGGGGGATGTGGTTAGCTGTAGTCTAAGGCAGCTTCAGGAAAGGCCTCAGCATCTTCTTCCATGGAGTTTCTCCTCCTTCAGCAGGGTTGTCAGGTCGCAGTCACCTTGTGGTGGCACGGGTTCCAGCGTGTGCGTGGAGACACCCAGACCCTCTGAGACTATGAGTAATTCAATTCTGTCCTGGATTCAAGTTTAGAAAACAAACTCTACACCTTGGTAGAAATTGTAGTTTTCCCACAAAGGACAGAGAATATATGGAGAGTGTAGGGGAATGTCTCTCATGCAATCTGTTTATCGCCATCGGCATGCAAAATCACTACTGAGTGATAATAATCAAGTTGAAATATGCTTGCTTCCTTGCTACTGCTTCCTTTTCCTGGTTGCCTTGCTTGTATTTCGCTGTCATCTGAGGTGGTTTCTGATGGGCTCACTCTGTAGGACAGCCCATTGGGCACCCTGGCTTCCTGACCCCAGACTCCCCAGCCACTGATCCTCCACTTCTGGAGATGCCTTACTGATCAGGCTCTCAGGTGCCCTCCTCTCTCTCACCACAAGCCTCTCCTTCCTCTCCTCACACCTCCCGACTCTTGCTAAAAAACACTCAGTCCAACAGTCAAGATTCAGTTGAAAATTTTTTCCTCTGCATCTTTCCCAGAATCCCTAAGGAACTTGCAGTTGTGAATTCATGTCTACGGAACATCTAATGATGTTTTATCATTGGCAGAGAGCGGGATTCTCCAGTGACTGGACGTGTGGGCTTTGTGATCAGAGGCGCTTGGATTTGAGTTCAGCCTCACCACTCCCTAGCTTTGTGACTTGGGCTGCTGCTGTATTAGCTCTTCTAA